AGCTCCCGCGCAGATCGAGTTTGTTTCCGATAATCGATAACTTACTCCGTTTCCAAGCAATCGATAAAAATCGATATCGATATCCTGTTTTTTAGGCAATTTTGGTAAATAATAAAGCTAGAGTCACCAAACTTGACATATAGCTTCTAAAATAGAATATATATATGCATTTGATGTTGGAAGAAGAGGGTTCAGGGTATCCCCTAGTCGGGAGCTCCCGACTAGAACCTCTTACCTGTTTTTTTTGTAATATTCTTAGATTGTTTTCAGCGTGAAATTATATTCAATAACAACGTTTATTTTCTACTTTCTAGGTATCTTTTCTATCTCGTTAGCTTATTTTAAACATATCTTAGATCCTTCTAAATTAAATTTAATACGCATTTATATTCAGGCCTCAAATAACTTATATATGTTTTGCTGTATATAGAAATCTCCTTAGTTTCCCAATCTCTACCTTAATGTCCGAGTCCCATTCTACTAAACTCATTTCATTCTTGATCCCTTTGAGAACTTAATTGTTGAAATGAAGGGTATATGTTAGTCAGTCGCATGCAGCACAACTAGCTTAAGCTATTTTTATTTGTTAGCTGGCTTAAAACAATAACCCACTAACTGACGTCAAGGCAGCAGTTGGGAATTTTAACGATTTTGCACTCGGCGAGCGCACGCAGCGCAAAATGAATTGCGTTAAGAGCTGCAGCTGCAGCGAAATTTATCAATATGTTTTATCTAAATTGCAGGACTAACAAGCAGATGCACAAGATAATAGACAAATTACTTGCAGCTAACAGTTTCTGCTTGCAACCTAAGTGATGCCCCAGCTGCCGCCGAGGCCGCTGCCGCAAAGAAAGTTGTCGCTGCGTGTGACTTGCAACTTGTGGCTGCAACTGCAACAACAATAGATGTATCTATCTACAGCATGTGTGTAGCGAGGCCGCTTCTGTGTGCGTCGCTAGAAAAATGAAGATGTACAGATTCGAGCAGGCGCACAGATTCGGCCAGCAGGCGGCTGGCCTAGACTGGGATGGCACAGAGAGTCGCATCTGCACACATACTTGCATACATGTGTTCCCTTGCATGTATCTGCATCTGCGAAATGTTGCAACTGCTGCCGGTTTGCGAAGCATGCAGCATGTTAACTATACATATGCACAGATATATAGATACATATGTGTGTGTGTGTGTGTGCTTGAAGTGCGGCTCGTCGCGCTGCTCTGCTCGCTGTTCTAGCTCAGCTGGTTTTCGCATTTAGTAGATGCGCTCCGCAAGATATGTGCGAAATGTATCTAGAACTCGTTTTCGTCAGTATCTTGAGAGAGCTGCGCTTTGCCATGTGCTGTTCGCCCAGCCATTTGCAACATGCACACCACCAACCTTGGCTGTGTGTACGCATGTGTTTGTGTGTGTTCCTGTGTGTATTACCAACGAGATACATTTAGCTGATTACACTTGCAGATACATTATAAAATTACTCAAAATCAGCGAAGCGGACTGCCGTCCGTCCGGCTGAGTGAGTTTGTGTGTGGGTTGCATGTATTTACATTCATGTCATGGTTCAGCGCAGTTAACACACACACACACACAAACACACATGATATTCTTATTGCTCGGAAACAAGTAAGAGTGCTCTAGTCGAGAGTGCTCAAACCAAATATACCCTGTAAAAAGCTTCTACATAACACATGCGAGCACATGCATATGTCCTGAGCAACATCCTGTGCAAAATGGACTGTTTAACAACTTCTGTGATTATTTTCTTTTATAACCAAAAAGCGTAATATCAAATAAACGCTTGCCAAATTTGTTGTATCTTTTCCGAGATATGCTCGAAAAATGGGGTTGACAATCGAAATTTATCAACATATTGAATTTCGTGGATATGCGCAGAAAGTAAGCTTTTATATTGACTTTATAGATTTTGCACATGAAATAGTTTTTCGCATTTAAAGAAATCGAGAACATGTAAAGCTCGCTGCCCTACTTGTGTGTGTGTGTGTGTTTGTTTTTTATTGCGACAGGGTATCACATGATATTATAAAATGTATCTCGAGCCTGCAGCTGTACGCAAAGCTTTTATATTTGCCTATTAGGTTGCGCAAAGTGGTTTTGAAAATTTGATTTTAACCAAACTAATTGCTTTAGCCGGCTCGCTCGGACAGCTCGACAGCTCGAGCCCTTTGTTGGCCAATCGAATTATGTGGCCTGGTTTTGCACTTAGCCAGCATCAGCATGAGGCCTCAGTTTGTGGCCGCAACGTCATTGAACAACGTCACATGCGTGACATGCGTTCTGTTGTCGAGCTGCAACCCATGCGAACTGCCGTAACTTGTTGGCCTGGCCAATACACAACCATTTCAACTAGTTGCTGCCCGTCGCCTGCTGCCGCTTGCTGGGCGCCTGCTCCGACTAGATACAATAGTAAAAGTGTGCTCGCTGACTGAGTGAATGCTCGAGTGAGTGAATGAGTGTGTGTGTGTGTGTGTGTGTGTGTGAGCGAGTGTGCGAGTGAGTGCCTTGGCAAAACTGGTAGTATTCGTGCAGTGTACGTGGGGCACGTTGCAATGCCGGCCGGCCGGCAGCTCGGCCTGTAATTTATGGTCATGCAAAAGAGCGACTCGCCTAGATACGACAGCGTGGGCTCGGGCTATTCGGGTGGCAGCACTTCGCTAAAAGTTTACAATTCGCATTCGTTTTTATTGTCATCACGTCTTGTCCTCCTTTGGTGCATTTTGCTTTTATTTTTTTTGTTGATATTTTTTGCATTGTCGGCCATTGCACCGCTCGGCCGCCTCCAGGCCACAGGGCCTGCATTCTGATGCCTTTTTCATATGCAATTTGCATGACTGTATTTTTGTTTTCACGTTTTGTCTTCCTGCATGGCTTTGTCCCTGACAGTTACAACTTTCTGACGCATGATTTGTTGAAAGGCCTTTCGTTTTTTTATAAATAGCAGACGGAATCTGGGACATTGTAGGTGCTCGCTCACAAAAAGCAAAAAAAAAAACAGAAAAGCTGACAAAAAAGCGGAAAAGCCATGCACATAAAGCCTAAGTACTTTGCTTTTTAACAAAACTCTGACCAAGACAAAACTGAAGTGTTTTTTTGGGCGGCCCGTTTGAGTAAATTTGTAATTAAGCGAAAAGTCAAATCGTTTACAAAGGCCACACAAATATTCATTAAAGCTTGAATAGATGTGTTCATTAATTGTGAAAATTACTCAAAATTACACACAGTATATATATAGTACGTACTTTTCATTACATTCTTTTATTCTTCCCGTTCTCCAAACTTTTGACTCGTTCCATTTCGTATACCGTATATCGTATATAGATCGTCTTTCCTTGTGATATCTATGAACTCAAGCATAGCTTATCGATTTTAATGCTTATTTTGTTAAATATATTTTTGTCGAGTTGATATTGCAACGGTTTTGCTTTAGTATTATTCTTCCTTTTACAAATTGAAAAGTAGATACGATTGTGTGTTAGGGAAAATCAGACCTGGGCTGTGGGAAATACCATAGTCAAACAGTCATATTTGCAGCATTCACATCTTATCCATCATTTGTAAGATAACCAAAATATTAATAAGTTATTAATTTAAATGGACTTTCAGCTACGAAGCTGAAGTTTTCACTGGAGTTACCTTTTGTGATTAAGGTGCACGCTAAGACGGGGTTACGGCGAATTCCACCCGCATGTGTAGAAAAATCGTGAAAAATATTTGTATGTAACTTTTTTGTTAACCCTCCGATCGATCTCAAACTCATTTTCAAATATATTTATAAGGAATTATTTGACTGGTTCTTGGGTAGCAAATGCGGGTCAAAGGTTTAGTAAACCAAAGCTAATTCCTCAGCATCAAGATTCTCACCGCAAGACCAACATGGGCAGAAGTGCGGTTCCTTAAGGCATACATTGTTAAATAGTGGATATCAAGATGGGTAGATATCAATTTTCCCAGGGTCGTGTACTTAGTGGAAAGGTAATATCTAACATTTTTAGCACAAAACATTCCGCGAGCAAGGCCGGGCAATAAACGGGCTTCTATATTTATAAATATTTCGAATACATTTACACATATCTAATGCATGTGGGCAACTTTCGAGCTAGGTTTTTGTATACCTTTTCTGGCTTGCAGAACTGGGTCATCAACATTATCGAGTCACGGCCCAAAAGTGGCACTCACACAGAACTTTACACTTATACAAGTCTTTTGAGACAAGCGAAAAAAATTTAATCATCTTTACGACCACAACTACGAATTATTTTCATTATTATTATCGTCGCGACTGCTGCTGCTGCTGCTGCTGTGTGGTAGATGGTTTTGGGTGGTTGCAGGGGCAGGGGCAGGGGGAGTGACCCAACAATGGCCGATAAAAATCGCTGGCACAATGAAAGCAGCGACGCTGACGACGACGACGCCGCCGCCGCCCGGTGCGGGGCTGTTAACCTTGAGGTCTATGACTCACTGAGTCAGCCGCTAGGGGGCGCTGCTTTCTTTTCCAAGTGCCAAAAGATGATTGTGTGCTCCACATTGCGGGCAGGAAGGTCAGCGGAATGCTTGCGGCTCTGATCGGGCGCGACCTTTCACTTTGGGAAAGTACAAGGCGCGCCAAAATAATTTATTGTAAATCGAACATCGGAACGTTTTGGGGAATTGATGGGGCGGCCCAGGAAAACAAAAATCGTGATTTTCATAAATGAATTGTTGGCGACATGTCTGTCTGACGAAAAGAAAGCAACATCCCATTGGCATCTTCTAACAGCTTGGGAGATGCTGGACCCGTCGAATGGGTCACGGCGTTTACAAATGACAAACTCTTTGAAATTTATGACCACGAAAACGAACTCGAAGATGAACAGCAACACGTCCTAACGATTGTGGCTCCTTTGTTTGCCAAAGACTAGAGAAAGGCTCTGCCTCTATATTGTGTCGTGCCAAAGACTAAACCAGCTTTTCATCTTCCGTCTCTCTCTCTCTCTACTCTCTTGCAGAATTTCTTCAGATTGCATCGCCTGAGAAAACTGGGCCTGAGTGACAATGAAATTGGACGCCTGCCGCCGGACATACAAAACTTTGAAAATCTCGTGGAGCTCGATGTTTCACGTAACGGTAAGTCGAAACACAACAAAACATAGAAAACATGCAACAAGTGCCGGATAATTATTATTGACATTGATGGGTTGCCGTTTTTGCCATGTGAAAGCTAAGGATGCGATGGCACGCGCCTATCCATTTAGTTGACTGACAGACAGACAGACAGCAGGGGGATTTTGTCATACAAATTGAGTCACTTAATGCCTGACATAAGACAATTGCACATCAGGTCTAACTGTGTCTGAAGGAGCACGCTCTCTGTCTGTCTATTGACTGCAAGTGAGTCAACGTCTTGTGGCTTGGCTTTCACCTACCAACATATATATGGTTATTGTTGTTGTCAGGCAACAGTCACAATAATTCTCGGTAACCCACTCGAACTTTGACCCATTATACGCTCCGAGCATTGCCATTGTCCTGCATTAGATCTCTTGTACTTAACTGGAAATTGGCTTGACTGTCAGTTACGATTTGTTGTTACTTTTGTACGACTTGCATCAGCAAAGCAGAGACTTGTTTAGCCAGAAAAACTTATGTTTTCCGTTCTGGCAACTCTTCGGTGCAATATTGCACGCACAAGCGCGGACTGTCAGACAGGCGAGTCGCGTACTCGAAAAACCGTATACCCCGCACATATTTGTTTTCTGCTTAAGCAAGCATAAATCCGTAAACACCAATCAGTAATTGGAGTCAAGTGCAGTGCGCACAGCAGCGCGTATTAAAAATAAAACAAATATGTATTCTCTTATATACACAGAACTGTGTACGTCGAAGTTTTGACAAACGAGCAGGTTGCAGTATGATTTTCAAATACCCTGTAACATTACTTTTGAGCAAAGTGAAACCAATTTCAACAACTCAAATATTATTTATGAGTAGGCTTTATTGAATAGCATAGAAAAGTAGCTAATGAAATTCATGATACGATATATTCATTGTAATTTACATATCATCACACCCCTTTCTGGGATACAGGGTATTTAGAAAATGAAAGCAGAGCTTGTTACCATTGAAGACTCGTTCATTCATTCATGTAATTTGAGCAGTCAGGGCCGGACTTGACTCTTTTTTTGAACTTTTAAGCAATTAATTACTGAAATGATCAATCAGACAAATTTTCATATTTTGAAGTGTTATACTTTAAACAGTTTCTGTCAAAGGAAGCTATTTTCTAGTTTTCAAAAGCATATTTTAAACGATTTTCAGGGTGCACCGCTTTTAATCTAGTCCGCTCCTGAGCTCGGTCAACCAAGACCGAAGCATTTTTGATGATGTTGGCTTACAACTTTGTGCGGCTTCCTATTTCCGTTTTGTCCACAAAAAGGGGCTTAAATTGGGTAGAAGTGTTGCACTGCCGACTTGCCAGCTTGAATGCTTTTGCTGACCATGCAACATGCCGTGGTTGTTGTTTATGCATATGACCCACAAATGTTCGGCAAACACACCCCAAGCAATTCAAGTGAATGTGCTTTTAAAGCTCTCGTCCGTTGTCGTCGCCTGGTGCTGGAAATCTGAGCTGCGGAATCTAAGTGAAAGGCCCTCAGCGATAGAGATGACTTTTCACTAGACATGATCGCAGCGATTCGATCAGAAATATATGTACCTCTTTTAGCATTTTAAATCTACATTCAGTCGAGCGGCTGTTGGTAAAACCCTTTCACATTCAATTATCAATGCTCAAATTCAGTTAATATAATTATTATGGCCAAAGCATTGTCGCCGAATGGCTTTAAACTTGCCTGGTAATAGGAAAAAGCGCAATTGGCAGGTGCGGCCGCACCTTGCTATATGCAGCACCCACACGTGGCAGCAGGTATTTTTATACCCTCCGAATTGGTCGAAGCCAAACGAAATATTTCAGTTCGTAACTGTGGCGCATTTTTGTTAAAATTAGTGCGCTTGATTTGTGTTGCTTTTGTGGCCATAACAATGGCTATGGCAGCAGCAGCAGCAGCAGGGAAACGAGCTGCCAGGCGCAGTACGCAAAAACACAGTATATTACGTATACGCCCGCTTGCACTTGACAAAAGAATTGGTCGACAGCGAAAACAAAAACGTGCAGTGCATTTGTAAGTGCGCCGCACAATGGACGTAAACATAATTAAAGCAAACAAATTGCAAAAAGCCCAAAGCTTTTGTTAAATGCAATCTATATAATAAAATTAAAAGCTATTAAATAAAATCAAAGATTTTAATTGAGCGATGTAAAACGACATTTAAAAATGATTGAATTTGTATCAATTTTTATTCGTAATTATACTTGAATTAAACTCGACGTAAACTTTTTGAAATGTTTGCTTTGCTTTTCATAAAAAAGACAAGCACGTTGATGAAAAATATTGTTATTGGATAATAGTTCCAGTTCGATAACATTAAAAGATTGCAATTTTAATTAATTTAATAATGTCACATCATTTATTTATTCGTCAGGTGGGTTTTCACACACGCCTTGACTTTGAATATTTATTAAAATTTATGTTTGATATATATCTTTATTTTATACTTTCTTTCAATGAATTCTTGAGTCCGAGATCGAGAATTCCTATCTTCTATCTCCATCATCATGACTAAATTTACAATTTTATAAACCCATTTCTATTTAGATTTCTATATTCTCTCAAGTTGTTCCACTGTGCACCGCAATGGTTATAACAAAAATACCAGTAAAAACATTAATTTGTATAGCTGTTGCGGTACACACGTGTCTTAGTGAGTGTTAGTGTGTGTGCATGCGGGTGTGTTTGCCATTTGCAGGTGCTGCGGACGCAGTCGTCGTCGTCGTTAGCAGCCGCGAGTTTGTACGAAACGTTAATCATTATGACAAGTTGACCTGTTTGCGAAACGTGCGCGAGAGGGCGCTTTTGTTGGCTGCTACTCATTGCATTGCATTATGCCCTTGCAGAGGGTATTATAGTTTTTCCATGAAATGTGTAACGCTTAGAAGAAGACATCTTCGCAAAAAGTATGTGCATTCTCGATGCATATCAAGCGCCAAAATTTAATGTGTGCTTACATGTTTATATTCATAATATTCTCTCGCTTTTAAATTTATCTTTCTGAAACTCTATCAATATCTATATATAACTTTATCATTATCTATATAAAACTATATCATGTAGATGCCAAAAAAAAAAAGCATTTGTTTGTTTTTCAATGCAGGCTCTACAATGCTCCTAAAATGTGAGACAAATCGGATCAATATCGGACTTATATGTTATATAGGAAGAATCAGTCGAAAAGTTAGGTTTTGTAGGGAAAAATGTTCTTATTGCAAGAGAAGTCTCCATTAAAGACCCTAACAAATACGAGTTCTCCTCATATATCTGCACAGATTTAAGCCATAGCGTTCCGAAGGGTATTTAATCTTTGGCGTGTTAAAGATATTCATACTCTCGCGTTTTGTTTTTGTTTTTTCTGTTTTCCCAACGCCGCTAATTGTTTGTTTATTTGCGCGTTGTGTTTTCTATTTCTTAAATTTCGCAATTTGTTTTTGCTGCAGTTTTGCGCTGTGTGAAGTTAGCTTGTGGCTTGTTTATTAATACATACTAATTTGTGCATTTACATATTTAAAAGACGCTGCAGTCCCTCGACAAACAGACTCTAGTTGCGGGAAGTGAGAAAATCCGAGTTCAAATCCGAATCCGCAGCTAGATTATGAGGGAATGAGCAGAATACTGTGGGAATTGGTTGTGAAATTCTCTGGGAACAACTTGACAACCGATTTCAGAATAGAAAAAAAAAAAAAAAAAAAAAAACTGCATCTTACAAAAAGACCAATTAAATGCCATTTGAAAGTCATGTACGAAGCCAGCGACGACGACATCCTCAACGGCCAAGCACGAAAAGCCAACGGAATCTGTGTCATCTTTTATTCTTGTTGCTGTTGCAATTGAGGCGTCAACTGGGTCAAAGTTAAGCTGTGCGCCGAGTGCACCGAAAGTCGTCGCGTCGCCTCATTCAAGTGGCTTTTGCAAGATTCTTGTTGTTGTTGTTGTTTTTTTTGCGCTGACAACAGACACAAGTATTGTTAAAGTTGCTGTCTGCTTGAGTTTGAGGGCAAACAACAGGCAGGCACTAAGCTGCAGAAGGCCCTCGACTATAGATCAAAAGAGCTCGTTGGCGGTAGATGGAACGAGAAAGAGGCAGCTTTTCGCCAGCACAATGCAAAATCAGGGCTAAGTTGTGGCTTGACTGGACCTAGGCCACACGTTATTACCGGCCATGACTTTGTTAAATGTCCACATATACAATATGCTCTACTCTCAACAGGTATTATTTTCGCGCAGTCCGACAGAAAAGACAGCTAACACAAACACATGCACACATGCCCATGGCGTGTGAGAAAAGAAAAGCAAAAATTGTTTAATTAATAGCATTAAACAAAAACTATATCAAGAAATCAGAAAATTGAAAAATCATTTCTACTCACACTGTACTTAGCCATAATAATAATATGTACATACATATTTCAAATGCCTGGCTCGCTATTGACGTCACCGGGCGAGGGCAATTAAAAATAAAAACTAATCGACAGCCGAACAATAATTTTGTATGCGGGAGGGAAACAAATCAAAAGCCAAAAGTACGACATGAACTGCCTACACCAACACATACACAAAATGGCAAAAATGTGTCGGAAAAAGTAAACTGAACAAGCTGTTGGGAAAAATAGTAAACCGGACTAGTAAGATACCCTCGTTTTCACAGCTAAACCAATGCTTGATGTTAAAGTTAAAATGTGGTTTAAGACGCCAAGTCGATGTTTTCTGCCAATCTGCCTGCTAAACATTTAACAGGAGGATAAAAGTGCCAGCATCAAATACAATTGACATGAATAAGAAACTGCCGTGCAATGTAGCTAACCATTTTGCTAAGCTACAAGCTAACTTGGCTAATTACTCACTTTAAGGCATAAAAATCAAAACATAGTTCAACTTACTATCAAAATGCAACTGTACGTCAACCAGCTTCTACTTGGAACATGTAAAAAGGAACCTTTGAGGCTTACAAATCCT